GAAGGAGCTACAGGAAAGTTTCAAAACATCTCTTCTTTTTAACCTCCATCTCACTACACTAAATGCCTTAAGTTATCACAGTTAAATTAGTACAGCTTTATACTCCAGTTCCCTCTCTATAAAACTCATATACAAGTTTTTCTGTACTGCAAGATGAGGAAAAGAAACACAATGATTAATGTCACCTCTGCATACATTATCTATTTCACATAATCTGCATAAAAAATATAATAATAAACAAAGGTAAAGATGGTCACAATAAACAGCATTATCTCATCTAACACACCTGAATGGAGAAGCCCAACAGAGGTCAGGTAAGTGAAGTACAGAAGTACAGACTTAAACAGACAACATCTTGTTTTGTTTTAAAATAATGATTTAGCCATTTTGTTATGTAATCCATATTAGGTCTACTCTCCTCAAACGGAAAACCTTTCCTCTTTCAACACACACACATACACACACACACACACAATATCTGACACGTTCAATTTAAAACTAGGTCTTTAAAAAGTTAAGAGTCTGTATCAATTTCTCCTTTGTCCCAAATGATCTTTTAATAATATGGTAATGTAGACATTTAAAACTTTTCCCATGTTTAAACTAATTGAAATCTTGTGCACAGGTTGTATATAAAGAAATTAGGTTGCAATTAAGCATAGTTATTAACGATTGTTAAATCTAATTCTAATGGTTGTGACTATTATAGACCACAGACAAGGTCAACCCCACAACACAAGAAACTAGCTTTAAAGAAAAAGAAACAAACCACCTGAATTATATGCATAAAATCTCTGTCATAATGATATGCTCCAATCAGACTAAGCATGTTCATCCATTTGAAAAAACAGCTGTTTCCAAACTGATATATTCAGAATATATCCCCACTCTGTAAGACATTCAATTTGCGTTCAGTAAAATTAAAAAGACTAAATCTTACAATAATTTGAAAAGACACTCAGCAAAACATTGTGCTTATAAGCAAAGCCAAAATGTAGAAGCAATTTCAGCAATTACTGCAGAGTCCTTACACTAACTGCATAAACACCGTGTTCTGCAAATCAGCAGCAAGGTTTGGATCAGTCTATTTCAGGTTCTCAGTTAAGACCACCTCCCTCTCACCTCTGCATTAGAAGGAAAGAAAGTTGGCGCCATCTAAAAAGGACAATCACAAAAGTAGACAACACAACACTTTTCTATTCTGGCTACCGGAATGACTGCAGAACAGAGGGAAGAAAGGAAAATGATTATCCTCTCTGAAACAAAGCATACTCAGCCAGTACATTGCAATACTATCTTTCCAGCAGCACGGGAACACAAGGCCATGAGATGCTTGGTTCTAAGGACTTGATCTGAGGCAGCAAATCACAGACAACTGTAAGATCGTGTGCACAAAATGCATTCTCACTGCTCTCTTGACTGAGTCAATCCAAAAACCATTCATGTCATACATTTGGATCTTGCTCAGACAAGTTCCGATGTCCCACAGGGTAAATCTGCACTAGTACTTTAGCTCAGATAAGGAGAGCACTCTAGTAACAAATCTTCCTATCACTCTGGCTAATGCACTTTTGTTTGCTGAACGAAGCAGTCCTGGAGTGCACAAATCTGGTTTCTTTCAGATGAAAGCGAACCAGGAGATGTACTCTGGAGCTCTACCACTGCTGTAATGGGGCACAGAAGCAGACAGAAACCAGACCAAACCCACTTCACTTGCAAATGCTGTGAGTGCAGGTAGGCACCAGGTCCTCATCACTAAGTCTCTGGATCTGCTCTCACTGAGCCACATCACTTGCTGAGGCAGGTCCAGCCCCTGTGCCTCAGGATCTTCCTTCATACACTGCATGGGCTCTGACCTGTGCTGAGGTTAACTGAGCTTCTCAGGCTTTGCTTCCTCTTGGCTTTCAATTCATACACCACCTGAAATTCTCACTTCCAGCCTGTCACCTCTGCAAGTATAAGTGTTCAGGTAAAACAGCTTTCCTTCCCTCAGTGTCATCTACTCTCATCACAATGAAACACCTGCTTGTAAAGACTATTCAAACCCAAGTATGATCATCTTTAATTAAGTAATTTTAATTCTGGCATTTCTTACTTTGAGTGCTGAGTGATTTTAAAATAGGAATACTTTAATAGCTTGGTCACTTAAACATACACTGCACAACAGCATGTTGAAGCCAAAAGTGTAGAATCATATTGACTCTGTGCTCAAGAGCAGGTGTAAAGACTTGCAAACATACAACTATCAGCCCTCTATTCCTAATGGATACAGTGGGAAGGATAATTAAGCAAACATTTTCTCAGTGCATTTCACAGCCATTAAGAATCACAATACGCTGCAATAACAAAACAGATCCTCTACTACTCAGCATCTATCTATCTCAGCCTCAACATGGAGAGAGATCCTCAGCTCAACTATCAGTCCTCCCCCCTCTCATTCCAATAATCAGTTCCTTTACCTCCCTTTCGTAACAGCTTCTCATTAGCTGGCTCTTTGGAACTCTGCTTCATCCCAGTCCTATCATCACCGTCATACCTCTTGACTCGGTTCTGAATTGCAGCAAGATTGCTCTGCTTTTTTTCCTGTACCACAAACTTCCCTGATTGCTGAAGGGAACCATTTTTAAAAGCCCTAGGCTATATTCACACAACCAAGTAATTCGGCGTAATAAAACCAGATCAGTCAACTGAAGCACTTGGTGCCCAGGCCCCTACTTTTACAGTGTACAGAGTTTACGAGTTCTATTTCAAGTTAAATTCAGTTTGGTGCCTCAGAAGGAATGTTGTACCATCCACATGGCTTACAACTGTTCAACGTACCAGCTGTAAGCTGTTGGTTTGTATGGTCATGCCCCAGCTGGAGGCTGAAATCCACACAATGGATACACGGGGAGGAGATGCCATGTCTGGTTTCCTCCAGGAGGAACCTAGCATGTACATATCAAACTGCTCTATGAACTAACCAGTAACTGTCAAGTGGGGATGATCAGAAAACCCACTTTAAAAATTGTAATTGCATTAAAGCTTGAAGAAGCAGTGCTACTTTACCAGTCCCATGATGCTGCTTGGTACAGAGAGAGAATATTCAGCTGGCCAGGTGTCTACTGAGTACAGTGAAATCCGAACTTTCACAAATAGACTAAGTTTAGCTTAACTTTTCCTTGTCAACAATTAAAAAAAAAAGTGCTTAGCAAACTTTTGCAAAGCAAAGCAAAGCCTAGATAGAATCTGTAATTACATGAAATATATAAGCATTGAAGCAAATAGTTACAAAATTTTGACATAGTAAAACCACACTTCACTCCTTCTGTTTTCAGAAACAAAAAACTTGAATCCACCAACACTCAGAACAAGTCAGACACAGAAAATTAAGGAAATACAAACAAATTAAAAAAAAAAAAAAAGGAAAAGAAAACCACACTTAAACTTACAGATACCTAGACAAGAAGGAAAAAAACAACCATACATTTGCTGAAAGTTCATTAAAATGAGGAAAAATGAATGTCCTAAGATGTTTTTAATTTGAAAACAAAACAATAAAACTAACAAGATGTGAAATTCAGTAGGCTTTTCTTTAATTGATAGCAGCATGAGAAGGAGAACCTTTGTTTTACACTTCAAATTTTCAAATGTTCAGTATGACACTTAATTTCACTGTATAAAACCATAGTCCTTTCTGGGACCCTGTTTAATACATATCACAGAGCTGATACTGGGCTTTAATGAAGAAGATCGATCAACCCAATCATATCCTAATATGCTTGAAATTACATGAAATAAACAGAAAATGAAATGAGATATCCAAATAGAGCAAGCAAGAAGGCGGGAAGGAAGAATAATTCAAAATTTTAAATAACTCCAGTCTTGCAAAATTTGGTTTGTTATATATGTAAGTATAATACTACAAAACAGGAAGCAGGCCTTAAGCTTCATGCCATTTAGCTAATTTTCATCTTCAATACCCATAATGAAATACTGCAATACAATTATGCAGGAGTAATTACAGGATAATAAACTTTTTTTCCACAATTCTCTTGGCTTCTTTAACATTTAATGTCAATCTACAATAAGAAAGCTAATAATGATCTTTGTCTTTGCACACTGCTAATGAAACAAAGCATTTCTATGTAAATTAAAGAGCGATTTTGTTCATACTATTCACATCTAAATGCTTCTGGGATAGAATCCGTATGCATTCCTCTTTAATACAGATCTCCTTCTCTCTGCAAGAGAGATGATCTTCTTTTGGAAATAATCACGTGCACAACCACAACCCCAAGCAAAGCAGCACAAAGCACAGATTTCATTCAAAGTTCATTACTTGATATGAATGCCAGGTGTTTCCAGAGGTTTCCCATTCGAAGCCCAACATACGGCAACCATCCCAAAATTCCAGATTGCGCAGTGACAGATCATAAAATGACATCTCAAGAATTTACAGGAATTGAGTGTAAGAAAAAATACTGCTTTAGACTGGCTTATAATTAGGAACATATTCTTTAATCATATGGCTTCCAGGTCTGCAGAGCAATTAGGTATACACTGAGCTTTACACAAGTAACACACTGATTTTATGGGAAGTACTTGAGTAAGTAATATCAGCTGAGCCACATTTTAGCATCCATTGAGTTCTATGCAAAGTATTGCATCCACAACTGTTTCCACACAACCTCCAACTGTGCACCTCTATTCCCACTTACAGCTGCCACCACTGCATATTTAGTCTGATACAGGAGTGACAGGAGCTGGAGCAGCAAGGTTAAGTGGAAATTACTGAGACCAGCTACCTCCTTACTGTTACAGTTACCCACATAAACAGGGGCAATTCTGAGGGTTAAGTATTAACAAGACCCAGGTCTTAATGGCCGTTAATTCCATATGGTCAGATTAGCTTGCTGCAGACCAGAAGATAAATCAAGAATGCTCACAGCCTAACTGTACAATGCCACTGCACACAGACAGCTACAAATTAGAACTATGCATTAATAGGTAGAACTTACCCCTCTTCTGAACCCAGCCTTCCTTCACAATGGTAACATCGCTCATGATGGCTCCACTCTGAACCCCCAACTCAAAATAGTATTTCTTTGAGTTATCAGCTTGTCTGTATGGCTTCTCTTCTGCTGCTCTTCCGAGTTTCTATTGATGAGTCACCCTGGAAGGAAATATTAGAAAAAGAATTTAAGTCTTTTTGTTTTTCTCATTTGACAGCCAGCAAAACACTCTTTGTTGATGTCTTCCTCTGACTGAGCTCATATTAAAAAGTCTGCCTTTCTTCTTTTAATTAACAATGTAACAGAGTCAGGTTTCTAGTTTTACAGCACATTTTTCACGAACACCTTTTCATGAACACCTATCTAGCAGAAGCCAAGTGTGTTACATTTTAAGTTACGTGGCACTATTATAAAATGCACACAATAAAATTTCTTGTACTAATGCAGGATGCTGTTAAATGAAAGCCAGTACTTCTGCTCAGATACAACTTTGAAGTCACACTACCTTTAACCATTCCCCTATTTGTGAGAATCCATGTAATGGCTAAGTGATTCTATTATGAAGACATTGATCATATCAAAAGAGCAAGGAAACGGAATGAAAGATTCTGCAAAAGCACTTAAAACCAAAGCCTTATGATGATAACCATATCCATTAAGGCTTAACTGTTAAAATCTGTAAGCCACTCACCAGCCATTCAATTACTTTTTTAAATACTTGAATTAAAAATAAATAAATAAATAAATAGTAATGGCTACAGAAATAGAATGAAAGTAGGAACAGTATTATAACTATATGATACCTGGTACAAATCCCTTTAGTTTTCAAAAACCAGCATTGCCTGCAAGTAAATGAATAGAAAAAAAAACTTTCTAGGAGCACAAATTAACCCAGAAAAGCTGCTGTTCAGTTTATGAAAAGCAGTGCACATTCTCTGAGGGTTTTCACACAGGCAGTGCCAGGAGTGCTCTCTGCTTCCAAAGCCTGACTTACAGAGGCAGAAGGGAGGCTCGCCCTGCAACAGGACATACTGCTCCCAAAAGGCACAGCCCCCCTTCCAAACACCTCACTCTGAGACTACGAGCTAAGTGCAAAGAAGAGATAACAGCACTGAAACCAAACAGGAAGAGAAGTCAGGGAAGGAGAGGTTTCCTTTTGCCAGCAGACTGCCTCTCCCTCCATCCTTTGAAGTAAACAGAAACACCCACATCGTATCAATCTAGAAAAGGGTAGGATGCCAAGGAGAGGGATTTCTGTGATGGTGGAGGAACACCTTTCTCTATCTGTACACACAGGAATACACCTTTGCACACTGCTGACATGGAACAAGAACAGAACGACCAGTTTAATACTACAAAATGCAGCACAGCCACATTCATTCAGTTTATTGACCGACACACGTAAATGCATAACAGAAACAAGTAACTGTTGTCCTAGAAGCAGCTGTGCAAGGAATGACTGGAGAACAGACAGGGAAATAAACTGTTCTAATGCAGCCAAGTACAGAGTAAAAACTGACCATTATATGTATGCAGTTTACTCCTTATTTATCGTTTGAAACCTGTATTTGCAGCGCTCAGCAGACAGATGGAAGGCTGCTTCTGTATAGATACTGTGCTGTGCACAATAAACCTTGGTATAAATATTTTTTTCAAGCGATAACAAATAACACAGTACAGCTTGGTTCAGAAATACTGAGGTATCCATTTTACAGTTTTGCTTTCATTTATGTTCTCTAAACATGCTGAAATCCAGCTGCTTAAAATTAAAAACCACAGTGCTGAATCCATGAGTAGCACAAAGTTTAAACTGCACAAAAGGCAGCACCTCAGAGCCACCTCCCCAGCACTGGCAGATGTAGCACCCAACCTAATGCAGGCAATGAGCAGCCCTGCGCACCAACATCACATGCGTGTGCAAAGGGACACCATCAGATACCTCTATGATGCAACTGCTCCCTGCTTTAGGGCTTTTATAGATTTAAGATTTCTTAAGACTTGAAAAGAAAAGTTAACAAACAAAGTTTTGGAAGGACAGGAGACAGCTTCATTACTGGTGATTTGTCTCTTTACCTATAACTGTTTACACTTTGTATTATGAAAGAGCATGGCAGAAAAAACACAACCTGCCTTTCCACAGCCTTTCACCTCACTATTCTGAGACTTTTTTTTCTGGGTCACACACTATCAGAGCTTTTGTTTGTGCACTTCAGCCCAGCGATAAGCAATACGCCAGATGTGCCTCAGCACAGATCTGACAGAGTGATGCACGCGACTGACACAGGTCCCAGCTCCGCCGTTCTGGCTGACAGCAGCACAGTGCTCCTCCACAAATACACAAACCTTCACAAATCCTGGGCTGAAGGTCAAAAAACAGCAACATACAAACAGCTGCAATGCAATGCACATGTAGGCAAGCGTAGTGGTTGACAACCGTGCCCATGGTAGGGAGGTTGAAACTAGATGATCTTTGAGGTCCTTTTCAACCCAGGCCATTCTATGATTCTACGATAAGCACATTCACATCCCAGTGTCCAACTTCAGTATGACTTTCCTACAAGACATTCCATGCATTCTTTAAGACATGATCACAGGTGGCACTTTTTTCAACTATAAGAACAAACTAAGTAAAGTATTTAGCTTGAGGTGGCACGCACTGCCATTTGTTTTACCCTTCCAGCCACTTCAATGCACCTCCCAACGTCAGCGTGCTCTTATGCAAAGTGCAATCATTTATTTTTATTGGTAGAGACCGAGCTGTAAGGAATGAACTTCTGCACTAAGTAGCCATGATCTTGTCTGTCCACAAACTGATCATAAAGTCCACGATGTCAGTAGAGACCCAGTTTTAATGAATTAATTTATGTTTAAAGTTCCCTATTTACCACCAATCATGATTAAGCTAGTATTATTTAATCAAAATCTGAACTGTGACTGATTTTTATGTCAGCCAGTGCCCCAATAACCACAAACGTACACTTGCAGGATTGCATTCTACTATTCCCATGAACTGCTATACTGAACTTCAAAGAAAAGAAAACAAAATACAAAAATTGGATAAATACAAAAAACTGAATTATCTCCAGCTTAGCTTCATGGTATTACCAGAAACAACTTAAGTAAAATTATCAACAGTTATAGGTGGACATTATGGTTATAATGATTGCTCCCTTAATTGGTAATTGAAAGTCAATCCGAATTGCATAGGAAGCTGTAGAAGATAAATCGAAGCATTAAAAGACTAATGAAAATAAAGGTTATGCATTCACACTGCACTTTCAAGAAACCATTTATAAGCATCTTTAGCAATACTCCTTATTAAATTCCTTTTAGATTTTCTAAAAGCTGTATTCTCTTACTCAGAAAGTCACCCAGCAAAGGTCTAGAAGAACAGATTCTTAAAAACTACCTACTATAATGACAGAAAGTAACCTGGATGAAAAATAAACATACAGACATCTGCCTGAAGATGTACTGCTGCATTTCGATAGACATAAAGGAGTTTCCTACAACATATGGAACAAGAACATATGAAAACAGCATTCCATCTATAGTTCAACTATTTCAAGAAGGGCTACGGAAATGTTAATGCTGCACAGCCTGCATAGAACTTCAATACTTGTTAGCCACCAGTTTTGCTCTCCTGATGAAGAGCTGTTATAAATTCTACAGTTCCCCCTGTTGCTACAGGATGAACCCACACAAATGGGGAAAAAATGTTTAAGAACTGAACCTGAAGGTTCTTTGCACTCCAATTGCTTCTACAGGGAAAAACTTAACTTGTTTAAAATGTATGTTCTAGGAACTGAAGAACAGGTTGGACTGTTGAGTGGGTTTGAGTTTTTTGGGTTTTTTTCCAACTTTATCAAACAAAACTCTTAGAAGATGCAATTCCAAGAACATTTTATCTTGCAGATTGTATCAGTCACTTATACATTACAAAAAAAAATACAACCTTACTGTCTGCATGTTTTATGGTGCAGATATGACAATTTACTCAGTCGTGACCAGTTATGTTAACAAAATGTGCATTATTCTTATTTGCATCTGGTAAAAAATAGTGAGGGTTTTTCTTATCTTCACTGGAAAGCTATTAAGCCACTTTTACCTTGTTACATGAACCAATTCAGCACACTTCTAAAGAGCTACTGCTTCACTTTAAGTTTCTAGCTGTTAGGGCTGCAAGGACATCTTCCTTAACAAAAGTTAAGCAGACACTTCTACACGCAGCAAATCCAACTGAGACTCGTGGTTTTCCCAAGCCATGGTGAAAAAACAACACCTATTCCTCCGAGGCAGAAAGGAGCAAGAACAGCAATTCAGGTCTACGCTTAACAACTACTATGTGCAAGTGAGTAATCATTGAGACTCGTAAGAGCAGACAACACTCCCTTGGAATCTGGGCATCCTCCCATCTCCCCAGTGACAAGAGACAGCTGAGCACAGAAGACAGTGCCCATAAATTCAGTGCAAATTGTATGATTCAGGTCTCTGTTGTAAGAACTTTCATAAACACAAGCTTCTACTTTCAACAATTTTGGAGCTGAGGATAAACAGATACTCTCACATTTACCAACTTAAGCTACCACAGGGAACACCAACGGAATCAGCTTCACCTCTTCCAATGACTGTCCCTAATCTGCCAGTACCGCTCGCACCCCTCTCACAACCTATAAGGGAACTACTATTTTCCCTTTTTACAAGTAACCATTTGTAAAACACAGTGCGTGGCGGGAGGGGAAATCAAAAAGTGAATCTTTCTGATTCACTCTCTCTGACTCACTGAGATTCCTTGGTCTTCAGCGTAATCAGAGCCACATCTCATCTTTATCTCATTTCTCAGAAAGGTACACTGGAAAATTATGTGCTCGCACAGACAAAACATAACAAAAAAAGCACCTCAGTCATCCTCTAGTCCAGTGACTGTCACCACCCCCCATGTTTGTTTCTCTGCTTTGGGGGCATTTTTTTTTCCTACCAGCAGATCGCATTCTTAAGAGGCTTTCTCAGAACTAAGTTTGAATGCTCCAACACAACCAAACAGACTGTAGTAGTTTCCAATACTCACTGCAATCACAGAGCAACAAATTAAAAAGATAAGGATCTAAACTAAAAACAGAGCTCTCTTTAGGATTTGATGTTGAGATCCAAGTTTCATTTG